TAGATGTGGATGTAGGTAGATGTGGATGTAGGTAGATGTGGATGTAGGTAGATGTGGATGTAGGTAGATGTGTGTGTAGGTAGATGTGGATGTAGGTAGATGTGGGTGTTGATGTAGGTAGATGTGGGTGTGGGTGTAGGTAGATGTGGGTGTAGGTAGATGTGGATGTAGGTAGATGTGGGTGTAGGTAGATGTGGATGTAGGTAGATGTGGGTGTAGGTAGATGTGGGTGTTGATGTAGGTAGATGTGGGTGTGGGTGTAGGTAGATGTGGGTGTAGGTAGATGTGGATGTAGGTAGATGTGGGTGTAGGTAGATGTGGGTGTTGATGTAGGTAGATGTGGGTGTGGGAGTAGGTAGATGTGGGTGTAGGTAGATGTGGATGTAGGTAGATGTGGGTGTAGGTAGATGTGGGTGTGGGTGTAGGTAGATGTGGGTGTGGATGTAGGTAGATGTGGGTGTGGATGTAGGTAGATGTGGGTGTGGATGTAGGTAGATGTGGATGTAGGTAGATGTGGATGTAGGTAGATGTGGGTGTAGGTAGATGTGGGTGTAGGTAGATGTGGATGTAGGTAGATGTGGATGTAGGTAGATGTGGGTGTTGATGTAGGTAGATGTGGGTGTGGATGTAGGTAGATGTGGATGTAGGTAGATGTGGATGTAGGTAGATGTGGGTGTGGATGTAGGTAGATGTGGGTGTAGGTAGATGTGGGTGTGGATGTAGGTAGATGTGGGTGTAGGTAGATGTGGGTGTAGGTAGATGTGGGTGTGGATGTAGGTAGATGTGGATGTAGGTAGATGTGGATGTAGGTAGATGTGGATGTAGGTAGATGTGGATGTAGGTAGATGTGGATGTAGGTAGATGTGGGTGTAGGTAGATGTGGGTGTAGGTAGATGTGGGTGTGGATGTAGGTAGATGTGGATGTAGGTAGATGTAGATGTAGGTAGATGTGGATGTAGGTAGATGTGGGTGTAGGTAGATGTGGGTGTAGGTAGATGTGGGTGTGGATGTAGGTAGATGTGGATGTAGGTAGATGTGGGTGTAGGTAGATGTGGGTGTAGGTAGATGTGGATGTAGGTAGATGTGGGTGTGGATGTAGGTAGATGTGGATGTAGGTAGATGTGGATGTAGGTAGATGTGGATGTAGGTAGATGTGGATGTAGGTAGATGTGGATGTAGGTAGATGTGGGTGTAGGTAGATGTGGATGTAGGTAGATGTGGGTGTAGGTAGATGTGGGTGTAGGTAGATGTGGGTGTGGATGTAGGTAGATGTGGGTGTAGGTAGATGTGGGTGTAGGTAGATGTGGGTGTGGATGTCGGTAGATGTGGATGTAGGTAGATGTGGATGTAGGTAGATGTGGATGTAGGTAGATGTGGATGTAGGTAGATGTGGATGTAGGTAGATGTGGGTGTAGGTAGATGTGGATGTAGGTAGATGTGGGTGTAGGTAGATGTGGGTGTAGGTAGATGTGGGTGTAGGTAGATGTGGATGCATCACTTATCACGTCGAATGGAAATAAGGAAAGCTGTCTTATATGCCACTATAGACTTAATTATTTAGACCAATCACATTTTTGGGCACTACATGTATTAATAAACCGGGAATGATCTCCCTAAACTTTCTCGAATATTCTTATATAAAACAACAGGGAATGTGTACTCGGGATATAGGTATGATTTTTAATCCATTTTAAATACTTTTTAAAATAGAATAGAATCTCATAGAAAAAATTATTGCGCACCAAGCGAACGCCAAAACAAAATGTGCACAATAGTGCGGAATATTATTAGTAATTTATAAATTTACTAGGCATACTGCCTAGCTTCGCTTAGGTTTTCAAAAAAGTTGAGAAATTGAATGATTAATTAATAGGCGATTGGCTGTTATATTAAATGTCTAAATTTATACAGTGGGGTACTTTTTTAGTACCCATAAATTGATAGAATATTCGCAACTTATTACTCGCAAGGTTATTAGAACTGAAAGGGCTTTCATAAAAATTATCAATCAAATATTATATTAAATTACTTTTGCAATTAATTTTACAATTACAATACAATACAAAACTTAATTTATAACACAACATCCATTTAAAACAATGCTATACTTTATGATTTTTGTTTTTTCTTAAAAAGAGTATACAAAATATTAAAAAATTGTTACATTAAAAAGTTACCCCCCCTGCTCATAGACCAATTGACCAAATTTCGTATAATGAGAATTTCACTCGCAGTCATTTTTAGCCCTCTTCGAGGGCTTTAATGCTGACCAACAGGTTTTCCATACGGCCCATCTATCTATAGAGGTGTATGCAAAAAATTAGCCAGTTATACAAAGAGTAAGTACCCTAAAATTTGCGTAGAAATTACCCAGTTTTCCCCATAAAATACAAAGATTATATAGGGAAATACAACTGGTCAGTTTTGACCCCTTTACGAAGTTTTCCCAGATATGCCGAGTTTTTTGTGACACCCCTAGGTGTTCTTCTACCACCTCACAAAATATCAAGGGGGGTCGTCGGAGGAAAAATTTTTCGTAATAGAGCTCATATAAAGAGAATTTCACTCGCGGTCACGTTTTAGCCCTCGTCGAGGGCTTTGAGTGTAACCGACAGTTTTCCCTAAAGGTCAAGCCATTGACCTAAGAGCATGCAAAAAATTAGCCAGATATACTGAGCTTAAGTACCCTAAAGTCTGCGTTGAAATGACCCTCTGTTTTTCCCATAAAATACAAAGATTATATAGGAAAATACAACTGGTCAGTTTTGACCGCTTTACGTAGTTTTCCCAGATATGCCGAGTTTTTTGTGACACCCCTAGGTGTTCTTCTACCACCTCACAAAATATCAAGGGGGGTCGTCGGAGGAAATTTTTTTTCGTAATAGAGCTCATATAAAGAGAATTTCACTCGCGGTCACTTTTTAGCCCTCGTCGAGGGCTTTGAGTGTAACCGACAGTTTTCCCTAAAGGTCAAGCCATTGACCTAGGAGCATGCAAAAAATTAGCCAGATATACTGAGCTTAAGTACCCTAAAGTCTGCGTTGTAATGACCCTCTGTTTTTCCCATAAAATACAAAGATTATATAGGGAAATACAACTGGTCAGTTTTGACCGCTTTACGAAGTTTTCCCAGATATGCCGAGTTTTTTGTCACACCCCTAGGTGTTCTTCTACCACCTCACAAAATATCAAGGGGGGTCGTCGGAGGAAAATCTTTTTCGTAATAGAGCTCATATAAAGAGAATTTCACTCGCGGTCACTTTTTAGCCCTCGTCGAGGGTTTTGAGTGTAACCGACAGTTTTCCCTAAAGGTCAAGCCATTGACCTAGGAGCATGCAAAAAATTAGCCAGATATACTGAGCTTAAGTACCCTAAAGTCTGCGTTGAAATGACCCTCTGTTTTTCCCATAAAATACAAAGATTATATAGGGAAATACAACTGGTCAGTTTTGACCGCTTTACGAAGTTTTCCCAGATATGCCGAGTTTTTTGTGACACCCCTAGGTGTTCTTCTACCACCTCACAAAATATCAAGGGGGGTCGTCGGAGGAAATTTTTTTTCGTAATAGAGCTCATATAAAGAGAATTTCACTCGCGGTCACTTTTTAGCCCTCGTCGAGGGTTTTGAGTGTAACCGACAGTTTTCCCTAAAGGTCAAGCCATTGACCTAGGAGCATGCAAAAAATTAGCCAGATATACTGAGCTTAAGTACCCTAAAGTCTGCGTTGAAATGACCCTCTGTTTTTCCCATAAAATACAAAGATTATATAGGGAAATACAACTGGTCAGTTTTGACCGCTTTACGAAGTTTTCCCAGATATGCCGAGTTTTTTGTGACACCCCTAGGTGTTCTTCTACCACCTCACAAAATATCAAGGGGGGTCGTCGGAGGAAATTTTTTTTCGTAATAGAGCTCATATAAAGAGAATTTCACTCGCGGTCACTTTTTAGCCCTCGTCGAGGGCTTTGAGTGTAACCGACAGTTTTCCCTAAAGGTCAAGCCATTGACCTAGGAGCATGCAAAAAATTAGCCAGATATACTGAGCTTAAGTACCCTTAAGTCTGCGTTGAAATGACCCTCTGTTTTTCCCATAAAATACAAAGATTATATAGGGAAATACGACTGGTCAGTTTTGACCCATTTCCCGATTTTTCCCGGACATGGCGAGTTTTTTGTGACACCCCTAGGTGTTCTTCTACCACCTCACAAAATATCAAGGGGGGTCGTCGGAGGAAATTTTTTTTCGTAATAGAGCTCATATAAAGACAATTTCACTCGCGGTCACTTTTTAGCCCTCGTCGAGGGCTTTGAGTGTAACCGACAGTTTTCCCTAAAGGTCAAGCCATTGACCTAGGAGCATGCAAAAAATTAGCCAGATATACTGAGCTTAAGTACCCTTAAGTCTGCGTTGAAATGACCCTCTGTTTTTCCCATAAAATACAAAGATTATATAGGGAAATACGACTGGTCAGTTTTGACCCATTTCCCGATTTTTCCCGGACATGGCGAGTTTTTTGTGACACCCCAAGGTGTTCTCCTACCACCTCACAAAATTTCAAGGGGGGTCGTCGGAGGAAATTTTTTTTCGTAATATAGCCCATATAAGGCGCCGGTCAGTCGAGGTCAGTTTTGACCCCTACTCCGTAGACTTTTCGGCCAACCGTCACCGGCCCTCGTGTTCTATTGCCCGAAGGCACCATAGTGCCAAATTTGACGCGCCTGCGGCGCCGGGAAGTGCCCTATCGGGCACTTGACCACTTTGCTTTATATATATAGACATGCGTTTTTTGAGAAATCGGAAACACACACACAGACACACGGACATACGGACAAGGTTGCAAAATTATGTTTTTCCGTATCCGTGAGGTGTAAAACGTCGAGATTTGTAAAAATCTCGATTTTTTTTTTTGCACGATTACAAGACTTTCTCTATAGCTTACTTCGTTTATACGAGAAAGTAAAAAGTACAGTGAATTGTTAGGTTGTGTTAGTATCCTACCTGTTTGTGTAAATGGTATACCTGTTTAAGTAAAGCGTGAAGAGAAGAATGGCCACGGCTAGCAGCTTTACAACAAACCAGGGCGTGATCCTTCTACAGTAAGGCATGGCTGTAAATAGACAGGTACCATGGTTACTTAAGTAAGGCATGGCTGTAAATAGACAGGTACCGTGGTTACTTCAGTAAGGTAGGGGTTTAGATAGAGATGTTAAGTGGTTACTTCAGTAAGGCAGGGATGTTTGAGGTCTATTATTTAGTATATCAGTGTAGAGAGGTCAGTAAGTTCAGTAAAGCCAGCTATAGATAGAGGTCAGAGTTCAGTTACTGCTATACTGCTATACTGCTGATAGAGGTTAGTTACTGCTGATAGAGGCTAGTTACTGCTGATAGAGGTTAGTTACTGCTGATAGAGGTTAGTTACTGCTGATAGAGTTTAGTTACTGCTGATAGAGGTTAGTTACTGCTGATAGAGGTTAGTTACTGCTGATAGAGGTTAGTTACTGCTGATAGAGGTTAGTTACTGCTGATAGAGTTTAGTTACTGCTGATAGAGGTCAGTTACTGCTGTAGATAGAGGTCAGTTACTGCTGTAGATAGAGGTCAGTTACTGCTGTAGATAGAGTTCAGTTACTGCTATACTGCCTACTGCTGATAGAGGTTAGTTACTGCTGATAGAAGTTAGTTACTGCTGATAGAGGTCAGTTACTGCTGTAGATAGAGGTCAGGGTTCTAACCCTAACCCTAACCCTAACCCTAAGGCCGGCCAATCCGCGGACTGGCCATGGTGGACCGGCCAAAGTCTTTATTAGAAGATCATCTGGCTAGGGACGACCGGCCAAAGTCCGAAATAGAAGATCATGAGCAGATTTTGGTTTTTTTTTAATGCCGTAAAGATCATGAAATTAAGTCTTTATTGATTATTAATTTAAGTAAATGACAGAAACGTTCAAATTTTTATTGTACTATAGTCTCAATCTATCAATATCATCATTTGTTACAACAAGTTGAACTTTTATGGCATTTAGAATTACATAGCAGCTTGTTATATTTACACTTGCAGCGAATTGTTGTGCACTTAGTTGTGCAATTGCAGCGAGTGTAGCCTTGGCCCCCAGTCAATGATTGTGAAGATGCGATGGTTCGTAGTGATTTTTCCTCAGTGCCAACTGACGACAATAAGAGCAGTTTGTCGTGAAGAATTGAAAAATCACTTCTAGCATACAGTTGTTTTAGAACACCATGTTCCGTTCCTAATTTGTAGAAACCGCCCTCGACGCTCATGACAACTGCAATCACGCTTCGGGGATCACCGTGACCTCTGTCAACATCTGGAACACGGATGCTTACATTGTCACCCACTTCACCATCTTTAAATTTTGTATTTGATGTTTTAAGCATCTTAGCACCTTGAGTTTGCAAGCCAATATGAGCTGCTGATCTGTGTTCCATGTTGTCTTGTTTGTTGTGACACAATCTGCAGGTAATGTTCCCTCCTTACCCTTCGTCTGCTTCATTGGGTATTCCACAAATAGCATGGACATCGTTGCCACAGGATCCAAAAGAATGAGCTGCACTACAATGTTTTTCACAAACTATACAGAATCTGTTGGCCACATTATTGTCACGCAACTGGTCTGGACGTTCCGCCACGGCAGCAGATGTGTTAGCTGAGGATGTCGTTGCATTTATGGCAACCCCCATTTCTTGCTCAATGTTCTCAAGATCTTCCTCAGTAACTATTTTATCGAGAGCCCATATATGGAAACTAACATGGATTTACATTTTTTTTTCTTTTGACAGCCATCTGCTATGTCTGTCTCATGGTCTGACGGCCCTTTTGATCCATGTCGCCTTGTATATAGAATGCTATACAAACAAAAGCTAAACAATACGGTACTCTCAATGAAAATCACCCAGAGTAATGAAAATGCGATCACAACTTAGTCTAGATAGAACATTGGCCAGGACATCCCGGCCAGTGCGCGCATTGGCCGGCCAATGTACAAAATACGCTGTCAAATTTAAGCGCTTCGGACTTAGGCCAGTACGTCCCGGCCAGTGCGCGCATTGGCCGGCCAATGTACGAAATACGATCTTAGTTCTCAGTTCTTTTGGCTTTGGCCAAGAGAGCCGGCCAATGCGCGGATTGGCCGGCCAATCCGCGCTTTGGCCGCACTTCGGGCTTTGACCGTAACAGTTACTGCTGATAGAAGTTAGTTACTGCTGATAGAGGTCAGTTACTGCTGTAGATAGAGGTCAGTTACTACTATACTGCTATACAGCCTACTGCTGATAGATGTTAGAGGTCAGTTACTGCCATACAGCCTACTGCTGATAGAGGTCAGTTACTGCTATACAGCCTACAGCTGATAGAGGTTAGTTACTGCCATACAGCCTACTGCTGATAGAAATATGTGTGAGACGGTAACCAAACGTTCTCACCACGTTATTCCAGATCTGTTCTGCTCTGTCCTATAAAGACATATGCAGGAGATTCCAGCTAACAACTTGGAATCACAAGACGCCAAAGTTTGTCCTAACTATCCCGACATACGATACGATAAGGTTTATCACAAGACGCCAAAGTTTGTCCAAACTATCCCGACATACGATACGATAAGGTTTATCACAAGACGCCAAAGTTTGTCCAAACTATCCCGACATACGATACGATAAGGTTTATCACAAGACGCCAAAGTTTGTCCAAACTATCCCGACATACGATACGATAAGGTTTATCACAAGACGCCAAAGTTTGTCCAAACTATCCCGACATACGATACGATAAGGTTTATCACAAGACGCCAAAGTTTGTCCAAACTATCCCGACATACGATACGATAAGGTTTATCACAAGACGCCAAAGTTTGTCCAAACTATCCCGACATACGATACGATAAGGTTTATCACAAGACGCCAAAGTTTGTCCAAACTATCCCGACATACGATACGATAAGGTTTATCACAAGACGCCAAAGTTTGTCCAAACTATCCCGACATACGATACGATAAGGTTTATCACAAGACGCCAAAGTTTGTCCAAACTATCCCGACATACGATACTATAAGGTTTATCACAAGACGCCAAAGTTTGTCCAAACTATCCCGACATACGATACTATAAGGTTTATCACAAGACGCCAAAGTTTGTCCAAACTATCCCGACATACGATACGATAAGGTTTATCACAAGACGCCAAAGTTTGTCCAAACTATCCCGACATACGATAAGGTTTCCTGTATCAGATCAATCTGGTCCAAAGACTTTACCCCAGTTAAATATTGAACTAGCATTGGCAGGTGTTGTAGCCTAGCTAGATTAACTGATAAGGTTGGGGAGGGGGGGGGGGAATTGAGTAATCCTAGGCCGACACACCTCCCAATAATTATTAGCATACTGCCAGCGGTCGCCTGCACATGTGTATGGCACATCTCTACCACTTATGTGAGTCGTCACCATATGGCACATATCTACCACTTATGTGAGTCGTCATATGGAACATATCTACCACTTATGTGAGTCGTCATATGGCACATATCTACCACTTATGTGAGTCGTCATATGGAACATATCTACCACTTATGTGAGTCGTCATATGGCACATATCTACCACTTATGTGAGTCGTCATATGGCACATATCTACCACTTATGTGAGTCATCATATGGCACATATCTACCACTTATGTGAGTCGTCATCATATGCCACATATCTACCACTTATGTGAGTCGTCATCATATGGCACATATCTACCACTTATGTGAGTCGTCATATGCCACATATCTACCACTTATGTGAGTCACCATATGGCACATATCTACCACTTATGTGAGTCGTCATATGCCACATATCTACCACTTATGTGAGTCACCATATGGCACATATCTACCACTTATGTGAGTCGTCATCATCTTTAAAACATGAACTTAATTTTTTTTTTAAACGAAGCCTCTTGCTTATATGAATTGCTTAAGATTTATTTACAATTATAATTATAGGTTCGCCTGGTGCTTTGTGTGGAGTGGTGTGTGGGGGGGGGGGGTGGTCTAAGAAGGTAAACAGACCTTATGTTTACAGCGCGCCTTCTGTGCATGAATTGTGTTCTCGAGCACACAGGAACTCTAGACAGGATCAGCTGAATAGGCAGGTGTGTAGGCTTGATAGCAGGTGTGTGGGCTTTATAGCAGGTGTGTGGGCTTGACGGTAGGTGTATGGGCTTGATAGCAGGTGTGTGGGCTTTATAGCAGGTGTGTGGGCATGACGGCAGGTGTGTGGGCTTGACGGCAGGTGTGTGGGCTTGATAGCAGGTGTGTGGGCTTGACAGCAGGTGTGTGGGCTTGACGGCAGGTGTGTGGGCTTGACAGCAGGTGTGTGGGCTTGCTCCTGACGGCAGGTGTGTGGGCTTGACGGCAGGTGTGTGGGCTTGACGGCAGGTGTGTGGGCTTGACGGCAGGTGTGTGGGCTTGATAGCAGGTGTGTGGGCTTGACAGCAGGTGTGTGGGCTTGATAGCAGGTGTGTGGGCTTGATAGCAGGTGTGTGGGCTTGATAGCAGGTGTGTGGGCTTGCTCCTGACGGCAGGTGTGTGGGCTTGACGGCAGGTGTGTGGGCTTGACGGCAGGTGTGTGGGCTTGACAGCAGGTGTGTGGGCTTGATAGCAGGTGTGTGGGCTTGATAGCAGGTGTGTGGGCTTGATAGCAGGTGTGTGGGCTTGCTCCTGAAGGCAGGTGTGTAGGCTTGTTCTTGACGACAGGTGTGTGGGCTTGCTCTTGAAGGCATGTGTGTGTGGGCTTCACGGCAGGTGTGTGGGCTTGACGGCAGATGTGTGGGATTAACGTCAGGTGTGTGGGATGAACGGCAGGTGTGTGGGCTTTTTTATGACCACAAGTAACCTATCCACCACATCCACTACATGTAACTTATTTCCCTCCTGTAACACAACCACCACATGTTACACAACCACCACGTGTAACCCATCCACCGCATTCACCACATGTTACACAACCACCACGTGTAACCCATCCACCACATCCACCACATAAACCACATGTTACACAACCACCACGTGTAACCCATCCACCGCATCCACCACATACACCACATGTTACACAACCACCACGTGTAACCCATCCACCGCATCCACCACATACACCACATGTTACACAACCACCACGTGTAACCCATCCACCGCATTCACCACATGTTACACAACCACCACGTGTAACCCATCCACCACATCCACCACATACACCACATGTTACACAACCACCACGTGTAACCCATCCACCCCATCCACCACATACACCACATGTTACACAACCACCACGTGTAACCCATCCACCACATCCACCACATGTTACACAACCGCCACGTGTAATCCATCCACCACATCCACCACATGTTACACAACCACCACGTGTAACCCATCCACCACATGTTACACAACCCCCACGTGTAACCCATCCACCGCATCCACCGCATCCAATACATCCACCACATGTTACACAACCACCACGTGTAACCCATCCACCACATGTTACACAACCACCACGTGTAACCCATCCACCGCATCCACCGCATCCAATACATCCACCACATGTTACACAACCACCACGTGTAATCCATCCACCGCATCCACCGCATCCAATACATCCACCACATGTTACACAACCACCACGTGTAACCCATCCACCACATGTTACACAACCACCACGTGTAACACGCCAACCACATCCACAAGATGTTTGAAATCTGAAACGTCACGACGCATCAAGTTGGGAGCCCCACAATGTGATCTACAGACCGTAAAGTTTCCACGGCAAGATGCACACGGTTTTTGTATTGACGTTTGCATCAAGTCAACTTTTATGTTGCAAATATGACACATCAACAATAGCGTAAACAGTATATTTTATGTCCCCATGTATGGGAACTAAGATTTGATATGAAACGCACATAAGGACAACATGACACAACATGACACAACATGGCACAACATGACATGACACAACATGACACAACATGACACAACATGACATGACACAACATGACACAACATGACACAACATGACACAACATGGCACAACATGACATGACACAACATGACACAACATGACACAACATGACATGACACAACATGACACAACACGACACAACATGGCACAACATGACATGACACAACATGACACAACATGACATGACACAACATGACACAACATGACACAACATGACACAACATGACACAACATGACACAACATGACATGACACAACATGACACAACATGACACAACATGACA